ACATACTTCATCATAACCCATAGACACATACTTCATCATCACCCCTAGATACATACTTCATCATAACCCATAGACACATACTTCATCATCACCCCTAGATACATACTTCATCATAACCCATAGACACATACTTCATCATCACCCCTAGATACATGCTTCATCATAACCCCTAGATACATACTTCATAATAACCCATAGACACATACTTCATCATCAACAACACACATACTTCATCATCACCCCTAGATACATGCTTCATCATAACCCCTAGATACATACTTCATCATAACCCATAGACACATACTTCATCATCACCCCTAGAAACATACTTCATCATCACCCCTAGATACATACTTCATCATCACCCCTAGATACATACTTCATCATCACCCCTAGATACATACTTCATCATAACCCATAGACACATACTTCATCATCACCCCTAGATACATACTTCATCATAACCCATAGACACATACTTCATCATCACCCCTAGATACATACTTCATCATAACCCATAGACACATACTTCATCATCACCCCTAGATACATGCTTCATCATAACCCCTAGATACATACTTCATAATAACCCATAGACACATACTTCATCATCAACAACACACATACTTCATCATCACCCCTAGATACATACTTCATCATAACCCATAGACACATACTTCATCATCACCCCTAGATACATGCTTCATCATAACCCCTAGATACATACTTCATAATAACCCATAGACACATACTTCATCATCAACAACACACATACTTCATCATCACCTCTAAACACAAACGCTGCCATCACCCAGACACTTGTGTCCTCACCCCCCCCCCCCCCCCCCCCCCCCAGCAGACATACGCTATCATCACCCCTAAAACACATATGTCCTCATCACCCTCAGACATAGGCTATCATCGACCCTAAGCACATTTCATCATCTCCCTAGACATGCGCTATCATCACCCCTAAGCACATTTCATCATCTCCCTAGACATGCGCTATCATCACCCCTAAGCACATTTCATCATCTCCCTAGACATGCGCTATCATCACCCCAAGCACATTTCATCATCTCCCTAGACATACGCTATCATCACCCCAAGCACATTTCATCATCTCCCTAGACATACGCTATCATCACCCCAAGCACATTTCATCATCTCCCTAGACATACGCTATCATCACCCCAAGCACATTTCATCATCTCCCTAGACATACGCTATCATCCCCCCAAGCACATTTAATCATCTCCCTAGACATACACTATCATCACCCCTAGACACATATGTTCTCATCACCCCCAGGCATACGCTATCATCACCCCAAATCACATTTCATCATTCCCAGATATACGCTATCACAAACGTCATCATCACTCCCAGACACAAACGTCATCATCACTCCCAGACACAAACGACATCATCACTCCCAGACACAAACGTCATCATCACTCCCAGACACAAACGTCATCATCACTCCCAGACACAAACGTCATCATCACTCCCGGACACAAACGTCATCATCACTCCATGGGGCATACGCCATCACCACCTCTGTGAGATACAACACTTGGTCTAAATATGTTCATGATAATGTCCACATGACTCTCTACTTGAACAGTTACTATTGTTCAAATATCTAACTGCAGGAACCATCAAGATTTCATGCTCGAATGCCTGTTACAACTAACATGGAAACAGTATACAACATGGGAACAACAACAACGAGTTTGTAGGTGGGGCAAGACTTTCATTCAGATTGACAGGTGTATACTTAGGCCCTCGGTGATGTCCGGATGTCACAGACAATGACCATCCCCAGAGAGCTGATTTCAAGCCCCAGGCCATCGTGAGTATTCGTCACCACTCGACGCTTTCCGTAACCCGCAACGCGATGCGTGCCCAACATTCACCTTGCGCCGAAATGACACTTGTGGTCACGAATGGATTGTATGCCCTCAAGATAGTTGCCTTACAATTAATTCCGAAAACGTTTTATGATGATGAAATAAGACGAAATTATTAAAATTCCCTGGTTACATTATTCGTGTCACTATAGCCTCACGCCAATTATCATGTCCCACGACAACGATGAGATATTAAAACTTATACCAATATCAAAACTGACGATGACGTACCCGCACTAAAATGACGGTGTGTGTAAAAGGGAGGCTCCTCTTCATGCTGAGGTGCCCATGACCAATCTAGGTAATTTCCTAGACGCATACGTCAGCCGCAACCCTTAGGGTCATACGTCATCTCCCCCTAGAACCGGGATTCGAACCTACAATCATAGGTTGAGTACAATGCTGTAGCACAAATATCAAACTGGTTACGAGAGAACTTCCCATTCGGTATGCCACCTTTCACAGCTATTATGTACAAGTCATTGTCACACTGCATTCAATCACAACACATGACATTTCTTGGATCGAGCGGCCACGATCAACATGGGTGAGGTGAGGTGAAATTTGGTTTAACGTCGCGTCCAAGATTATTACACTTTCATAGCGACGTGCATGTACGTGTGTGTGTTTGTGTGGCTGCTTGTACTAGTCCGGACTGATGCCGATTTATGGTGCTAGCTCACTGAGATACCATGCCGCAGTTTAACATGAATACCCCTCTCAGACACAGTATACAGACTCCGAGCCGACCAGTCCTTGTTTGAGCCCCTTAAGCTTAATGCCGAGCGCTAGACAGGGTAACAACAAGTACCATCTTTTAACGTCTTTTGGTATGACGCGGCCGGGGATCGAACCCCGCACCTTTCGCTCTCCGGGCGGACGTTCTACCATTAGACCACGGAGGCGGTCGATTTGATCAGGGAATCAGGAGTGTTCACAGATTCTCCTAGGTCAGAAGGCAACAGGTTTACAGAATCTGGGGGGCTTGATGTTAAATCAGGGAATATATATAACACCTGAAAAAATTAGGGATTATGTATTTTCCCTGAGTGAATCAGACATTAAATATATTCCCTGAATATTTCAGGGAATACACAAATTCCCTGATTATACATATTTCCTGTAACGTATACATATCACTGCCTATTGGTTTTAGTTACAGAATCATGATATATACTCTTCAAAAGAGAAACACAAAGACAGATCTGTTTGAGGTAGGAAAAATCATTTATACGAGGAACCGTATGAGGTATTGAGCCAAAATGTTGAGGAGAGAACATTTGGTGATTGTAGTCATCTCAGTTATCGGTCAGAGGAAAAGTCTAAGGTGAAGGTCAGATACAATCAATAACGTGTATATCCCCCGTTGGAATCGGAAGCGGTCTGATATCTCCTGCCCATGGAAGAGACGAGTATGCGAATCACATCCTGGGGAATGGTAGCCCACTCGGCCTGCAACGCAAAAGCCGACTGCTGCAACGTCTGGGGCTGTGGTTGACGTCGGTGCAGCTGTCTTTCCAATTCATCCCACAGGTGCTCTATCGGATTCAAATCTGGGGATCTGGAGGGCCAGGGGAGAACATCAACGTTGTTTCATGGACAGGCTCTTGTGATCAGTGCTGTATGCGGTCGAGTGTTGTCCTGCTGGAATACACCGTTGCCATTGGCTGCAATTGGGAGGACGTGTGGTAGGAGAATTTCGATGATGTTGCCCTGGATATGGACCAAACCTGTCCTGCCATGATGAGAAATAACCGCCCACATCATAACGCTACCCCCACCAAACCTGTCCACAGTTTCCGGCGTAACGTTCTCCCCGACGTCTGTTGACTCAAGGAGAAATCTTGATTCGTCGCTGAACCAGACATCTCTCCATTGCAGTTGAGGCCACACCCTATGTTGTCGACACCCATGCAGTCGTTGTTGACGATGTTGTCGACTCAATATGACGCGTGGAACAGGACTTCTTGCTCGTAGACCTGCTGCTCTTAAACGGTTTCGTCGGAGAATCTGCGGAGTCCGGGTATTTGGGATGCGGTTGAGGTGGCTGTGGTCGTCCTCTCACGTAGGTGGCGCAGTCGGATATAGCGATCTTGAGCGGGGGTATTTACTCTTGGTCGTCCCGACCTTGGTTGATCGCGTTTTGACCCATGCTGTTGAAACCGATCCCATAGCATTGTGATGGTGCTGGGCGCTACATGGAAAACCCTGTCTACAGCTGATCGGGATTCCCCTGCCTGCAAGCGGCCTATGACGTTGTTTCTTTGTACTTCTGTTAATCTTGGCATGTTGTTAAACTGTCACCGTTCGATTGACGCAGATGCCGGGCAATCGAAAACCCTGCACTTTAATATATAGTGCTGCTGCAATTGAAATAAATGTAAACATATTTGAAATATACACTTATTGTTTGCTTGACAAAATCCTATCCAATCGGTCGTCAATGAGAAGAGTTTGTTAAAAATGCGAAACAATTTGTTTTAAAATATATATATATATATTTATGAAAAAATAAAAAAAACAAGTAAATAAAGTCGCTATTAAAATCTTATATTTATATATATATATATTTAGGAAAAAATAAAAAAAACAAGTAAATAAAGTCGCTATTAAAATCTTATTTTTTATTTTTAAAAAACAGACACATGAAGTCGCCATTCTTTCAAAACCAAAAGTATAGCATCCGTGTTGTCGGTGGGTGTTGTCAAATATTCAAAACTGTCATGACTAAGAAATCAGCCCAAATTCCTCACTCACTAAAAATGTGCAAAATGTCAAATATGTCAAATTTGATAGTTTTAGTTGGAAAACCAAAATCAAACGCCGCAATATGCATGGAAACGACGTCAAGGAAAAATCAATTTGTGACATTATGCAAATGAGACGAGTCGCGAAAAGCCGCCAAAGCGCGCCCGTGTAGGAAAGCCTATTGAAGAAGGCACCCCCGTGACAGTTGACTGACAAGTATGACGGGAGTTTCTTATACCTGTTATTTATGACGCCAGGGAAGGCCCGAATAACTCTTCAAGTGTCTGATTTTATCGTCATGAGGTTTTGTCGATCCTCATTGTTCGTTCTTCTTGACGTCAATTTTGAATAATTTCGCCAAGTTTCGGACGGGAGCTTTATACTGGTCCGGCAAGCCATCATCAACTGAAATCCACAAGTAAAGTAAGTCAATGTACTTATTGATTGTTGTGTGTTCTGCTATGGGGTTATTGGGTCACGTAATGCCATTTATCAACGTTACCTGACTCTGGAATGTAGCACTGAAACATCGCCATACCTAGAGTCACTTTTCATTCATTTTGGTCCATGGCGCTGATCGTTTTTAAATGAAAGTTTTTTTAAGTTAGTATAATTTTTTTGGTTTAATATCTTGATTTGGGAAGCGCATGTGGTTAAAGAGAATACATGCCGTTAGTGTGGATATGGTTTTATCATAATTTTGTAGACTGTTTGGTCAATACTTGGTCCTCTAGTGTAATGACCAGTGTCTCTTGTCGTCCAGGGGCGGTCGAGTAGCCTAGTGGTTGAAGCGTTCGATCGTCACGAAGACCCGGGTTCGATTCCCCACATGGGTACAATGTGTAAAGACTATTTCTGGTGTCCCCCGCCGTGATATTGCTGGATTAATGCTAAAAGCGGCGTAAAACCAAACTCACTCACCCTTGTCATTGGTTACAGATGTCATGTTTCTCCGTGGTTTTGGAATGTGTTTCATTATGTCGTTTTTTAATTTGTGACTTCAAGTTCCATTCCAAGTATTTTGACCAATTAACTTTAACATCTAAATATCAGTTCACATTTACTAGTTTACACGGACATCTGATCCTCCGTATTTGTTGACGCTAACTGTTCTGGCCACACGTAACTGTGACTCCTCGTCCTTTATGTACATGTTTAAACACCTCCATCTTCATTCGCTTTATCGACCGCCTCCGTGGTCTAGTGGTAGAGCGTCCGCCCGGAGAGCGGAAGGTCCGGTGTTCAATCCCCGGCCGCGTCATACCAAAAGACGTTAAAAGATGGTACTTGTTGTTACCTTGTCTGGCGCTCGGCATTAAGAGGTTAAAGCAAGGACTGGTCGGCTCGGAGTCAGTATACTGTGTCTGAGTGGGGTATTAATGTTAAACTGCGGCATGGTATCTCAGTGGGCTAGCACTATAAATCGGCATCAGTCCGTTCTAGTACAAGCAGCCACACACACACACACACACACACACACACACACACACACGTGCATGCACGTCGCTATATAAGTGCAATAATCTTGGACGCGACATTAAACCCAATTTCACCTCACCTCATTCGCTTTATCCAAAAGTGGAAAATATAAAACGTCAACGCCAGAGAATAACCAGTCTCGATTATCCTCCGAAACATTCCATTGGGTGTCAAAGGCAGCGTGGATGGATCACTGAAAATCAGTGATGACATCAGGTTAGTCTGCCATACATACCTTGAAACAAATATATCCAATACAGCACATGCAGGTCTATAATGTTTGGCAAGTCTAGATTACTGTAGTATGTAGAAAATCTCTGGGCTCCTTTTTTTAATTATAAATATTATTTTATAACTATGATTTAAGAACTGTTTTTTTTCTGTAAAACATGTTCATTTCAGAGACGAGATGTTAGAATAACATAAAGTGCTCGCGCCACGCACACAATATGCACAAAAAATACGTGTTGTTTGTTTCTTTACGCCGCACATCAGTAAATGTTCATCATTTATCAGATAAATATGAATTATTAAGAAATATCTATTTTGTTTTTTAAACGGAAGGCAGCCACGTATCAATTTGAATCGTAAAGTATTAAAATGACTGTAAAATAAGTGCGTGTCATGATAAAAGTTTACATATTGCAATATTATTTCAAATATATATTTTTATTGGATTGATTAAAAAAAGCGAACTATCACTAGTAGTGAGTATTGTTTGTAAATGAATCACTGGTTGTTATGGATCGAAAATGACAGTTAATAATCCCAAATCAATTATGACACGGAACTGCCTGGTCATTCTTGGCCCGTATTCAACACAATACTATACTGATCAGGTCGTACATATGCGCGTGGCCTACATATCTACTGAATATAACACTATTCTGTAAGTACTGTGTGTCGCGCACCTGTCAGGTGTGATTGAAAGATACATCCACTGCCACTCAATCAGCTGGGCGAGGCAACACCGAACTACACACACGCATTGGGACAATGAACGCTGAGAGTGAAGTCAGTATCGTTTGTTATATCCAGAACGAGGGCAAGATATGCTTACGTATTCGTACTGGAAAATAATCCAGTTTGCCTTATTCTGAAAGATTGTTTCCGATATTAGGTGTGATATCGATGCATACGGCGTTCAAAAGAAAACGCAAATTTTTATTCGCAGTAATAGATTCTTTGTTTAATTAATGGACATTTATGTACTATTATTCTGAATTACACTATAACATAGCTATATATAGTTGCATTTGTTCAGAAAGTGTTATTCCAACTAGTATAATATTTGTTATAAAACTGTATTTTAAGTCTCTCGAACAATAAAGTGCTCAGATTAATGTCCTTGTTGCCTAAAATTAATAATATTTCAATATTCCCCACATAAATATAATGGATTAAATCTTGATAATTGCTGTAATTTTGACCATCAAAATTCCAAGGATTTTCAGATTTTGCCATAATAGAATGCAATCAAAAAATAAATGTTATGCAGTAAAGACCTAACCTTTAAACGTATAACTTGTCTCCCTTTATGCTCTTTTAATGTCCCGTAAAGATTCCGGGGTAGAATATGTCTTCACCAACCCATGCTAAACCGTAAAAGGTGACTATGCTTGTCGTAAAAGGCGACTAACGGGATCGGGTGGTCAGGCTCGCTGGCTTGGCTGATGTATGTCATCGATCCCAATTGCGTGGATCGATGCTCATGATATTAATCACTGGATTGTCTGGTCCAGACTCGATTATTTACAGACCGCGGTCATATAGCTGGAATATTGTGAGTGCGGCGTTAAACAACAAACCACCACCAACTTACACCAGAGTTGCATTGCGAGAATGCACAAATGACACACTGATCTAACTCGCTACGGGACGTTGTTTCAGGGTCCGGTGACCAAAATCCGAACCGAATTCGAATCCAAAATTTGCTCTATTAATTATCCTTGATCTGTCGTTGCCATACCCGTGCCAGTTGTTAAACTTATGCAAACTGACTATTTGAGGAAATGTTCAGCTTCTCAGGACATTTATATTTAACAAGAAAAGAATGTTTGTTTGGTTAAAGATATGTAAAGTTTTCTGCTACGACCTGTGTTTGTTTAATCTAAATATAACCTTTTAAAAAAAAGAATTACTGGAATCTAAAGAAGATGTCAGTGAAATGTTTTCACCATCTTTACCAGACATAGATATAGTTCTTGCGCACAAGTACCGTATCAGCTATAAACCACCATTTCCCACGATGTCAGGCCTGAAATGATGAAAATGACATTTCAGTGCATACAGTGAAAATTTCCCGTGGTTGTTGCGTGGGGGAGAATTATATCCTGTACCCTACAAACGTAATCTGGAAATGACATCCGTGAATTCCTTGTCAAAATCCGAATTTACCTCTGATACACCCAGACGTTACGCCTGTCAGACCTACAGTTGGTCCAAATTTGATAACCGCGCTCAGACCGCCTCACCGTATGCTGTCTCGTCTGTCGTGAGTTGGAGTGACTGTAGTGCACGTGCTGCACGAAATTCACGTGGTGATACAACAGGACAGCGGAGGTTTTGAAATTGACACTCATGTAGTCTATCGTTTTTGTTTCTTTGTTGTTTAACGCCGCACTCAGCAATATTACAGCTATATGACGACGGTCTGTAAATAATCGAGTCTGGGCCAGACAATCCAGTGATTCATACCATGAGCATCGATCCACGCAATTGGGATACGATGACATGCATCAACCACCCGATCCTGTTAGTCGCCTCTTACGACAAGCATAGTCGCCTTTTACGGCAAGGATGGGTTGGTGAAGACCTATTCTACCCCGGATCTTCACGGGTGAGGCTATCTTTAAAACAATCAACCAGCGAAATTCAGTACGGGCGGAATTCTTACCAAATATTGGTGAAGATTATATAAATGGATCATTGCATTGAAAATCAGTGTGGAGACCGCCGTCATATAGCTGGAATATTGCTGAGTGCGGCGTTAAACAACAAACAAACGAAAGAACAGCTTACCTGTTTTCCTGTATATTTATGTATACATATACATAAATAATATCACATTGTCATGTACCACGACACCTTTAATTCTGAATGAACGTGTATATCTTTATTAATCATAGAGAAAAGTAATAATAGTTAATATTAATCCGTGGCGAGACGGTGAACGTTCCCATTTACACGCTTGGTATACAAGGCACTATGGTAGAAAAACGCCCGGAGATGACAAATGACGATTTTGTGCTGTCTTTGACCTTGCTCAAAAACGGCCAATAAACCAAAATGTAGGAATGACAGATCAAAGAGAAGATCTTGATATATATATACCCCTCTGTCAGATCGGCTGAATGAAGCTTGGTATTAATAACGGAGAACACTTTTCTAGTGTTAGCAGTTTTTGGATCCCTCTTTAATGGACTGGTGCTGGTGAGGACTTTGACTCCTGTAACTATGAACGCCAGTCTGTCCACAAGGGTGTCGGTGACGTGATGCTGATTGATTGCATCGTCTGGGTTATACCAGGCTATGAACACTCTCTTTCTTTAACTATATGGTTACCCAAAGCTGCCCTCCATAGGAGATATTGCTTGGGTGAGATCAAGCGATTTATTATACTTCAGTGTGAAACATAGAGTTTTCCGAACTTGGGAAAAAGTGATTTTCCATTGTAGTGAACATAACACTTGACATTTCACTGCAGTGAACATAACACTTGACATTTCACTGCAGTGAACATAACACTTGATATTTCACTGCTGTGAACATAACCCTTTAACGGAACTATTGTCATACAAGAGTGACCTCCCCTCAAATTGTCTCCCTTTATCGTAGTGTATGGCACGTACACAAACTGTTGGCGTCCTTTTGTACGTTAGTTCCACATGGACTAGGCAAAATAATGACAGGTGGTCATTTATGGAGTTAATATAGCTTCATGT